GCGACCTTGAACTCAAGTTCCTTGATCTTCTCTCGGACGAGCTCTCTAATTCGAGGCCGGTGCTCAATTGTGGCAGGCGCGGCAACTTTTGGCATTGGCGGCACGGAAAACTTTTGGGAAGTGGCTGGAATAATTTCCCAAACATTGCCTACGAGCTTTGCAGTTGCAGGAGGGCGTTGAGTTGCCTCAAGCCGGGCCGGTGAAGACTTCTTCTTTTTGCCCTTGCTGTCAGATGAAGATGCTGGCTTCTCCTCCTGCTCCTTGGCTGCTTTCTTTGCTTCTTCCTCGATGATCAACTTCCTATCTTGGGGTCCTAACATCTTCCACAATTCTGAGTCGATCCCCTCCGGACGCTTTGAACCTTTATAGTTACGTACAATCCGGTGACCATCCCAATGATGTCCATCTGGAATTATTTCACCTTTAGGGGTCAATTTGAGATCTGGAAATACGGGCGCTTCGGGTGCATCAGGCTCGACATCGCTGTCGGCTGGTAGAGGCGTCCCTGGCTCGTATTCATACTCATCTTGTGGCGGATGCAACCTGGACTCAAGAGGCACAGCTTTGGGTGTCTGCGGAATGACCTGGTCCTCGAGGCGATCGGCTTTGGGTGCTTTCGAGTCAATCAGAGCTTTCAAAGGAAAGATGAAACCCTCGGATGGCAATTCCAACCTCTTTGTTCTTTGGATTGTCAGCGCACCCCAGTTGACATGATAATCTGCGGCTTCCAACTTGGCAACTAAGTATTCACCCTTCCAATCATGACCTGGTTGGATGTAATACCCAAGGAAAATTCCTTCGTTTGCTGTTGGGGAGAGCTTACCTGATGTGTTATCCAACCTCTTGGGGTTATTCCAGAATAACACTTTGGCACCAAATGGAATGTGCATTGCAGGGAACTCTTCACCAAACCTGAGTTGCCATGGGGAGTCACTGCCGTCAAGCTGGGGGCTTGCGTTGATCGCGGTCGCATGATGCTGCATGGCCAATGGCCACATCTTCAAAGGAAGTCCTGATTGCAACAAGTTGCTCCGGGCACCTTCCAACATCTGACGAACTTCGCGCTCAGCAAAAGACTTTGATGAATCTACATATTCAATGGAAGTTTGGTGTCTGTAACCAAAATCCTTGATGGCCCTGATCAATTCTGGGGAATTGTCAGTGTACACAACTTGAACATCATCCTTTGATCCAATGAAGTGATTCAAACCATCAACACAGCTTTGTGAGTCCTTGGACTGGCTAGGGTAGACATACCGATATTGGGTGTGCAGATCTTTCAACACCAATGCAACTTGCTCCCCCCTGAAACCCTCTTCTACGTTTTTCTTGATGATGACATGATCCCCAATGACGTGGTCACCGAACACTTCAGTTTCGATTCTCTTCTGACCACCTTTCTTTCGTGCCTGAGGTGCCATCATCCTTGCTCGTTGGCAGGTTCTGCAAAAGGGGTTCTTGGGGAAATGCGTGTACTGATGTTGGGTACTTGCAGCTTCAGCCAATAGATCCTCAGTCTTGCGGCTTCGGATGTACTCCTGCTGAGCGTCATCCTCCACCAGCTCATCCAATTGCTCTTCATCTTGGGCTTCGTCCCGTTTGGCTTTTGAGCTCGACCGTGAGGTCGGCATTGCAAACAACTTTCTAAGGTGCTTATCCTTTTGAAATTGATCTTTGGGATAAACTTTGCAACTATCATCCAAAACTGGGACATGACCTTCGATCTTGAGCTGGACGACCTTGTCATCTGGACGGACTAGGATTGGTTTGCCATTGGCAGGCCATACAAAACTGTAACCCTGATCTACACATCTCGTTCCTACGGAGAGCACAGCTGGGGTATGATCAAGTACATACGGATGCACGGGATACTTGACATCAGCAACCTCGTTTGCCTCGGTCGAACCATTGGCTGTGACTAAGGAAATCGGATGCTCGGCTGCACGGCAGTTCTTGGCACTGACATCCCTCAGCATTCCTTTGGACACAAGATCGGATTCACTACCTGAGTCGACAAGCCAACTAACGCCGGCCTTTGGCGCAGCTGTGGCAATTGACGGGAAACGACCAATGTCTCTAAGAGCTTTGGGACCGCTGACGAACCTGCACTCTTTGCATGTGATGTCACGTGTGTCCTCATTCCAACAACAAAACCCACAACTAGGTGCAACATCTGAATCATGAAGTTTCACAGTTTCTTGAAGCTGTCTTGCACGAACTTGAGCCTCATGTTGTTCAACCTTGGATGAAACTGGAACGTCTTCAGCTGTTTTGTACACCTTAGTGAACTCTCTTGGACGGTGCTTGACTGGGACTTGATGACCAACTGCTTTCACCTCGATCACATGTGGGGCCTTTCGGAATCTAAGACGCTTCATGCTGACACTTGACTCATCAGAGCACGAAGTTGCCTTCGGCTGTTTTCGCACGATGCATGCAAACTTCTGGATCAGGCATGGAGCGGCTGTGGAATCCTTGCTCTTCTTCTTAGGAGCGGGTGAATTAGCCCTTTTGGTGTCTTTGGTGGCGGCAGCAGCTTTGTCATCATGCTTATAAAAACATTTGTCACCACGTCTGCACTTTCCCTGGGCATGATAGATACACGGGGTTTTGGCCATTTCTTCCTTGGACATCTTCTTCCCCTTATCATCTTTGTTGCCCCTTGATGGTGAACGTGTTTTGGTTCTTCTGGGTGATTGAGTTCGAGATTTGTCATCCTTGACATGCTTAAATGGACATTTCTTCCCCTTATCACAGGTACCCTTTTGGAACTTATAGCAAATCTTGTCACCTTTGCCACCTCGTTCCTGCGATCTACCACGACTTGGGGAGCCCTTTCGGCCACCGCGACCATCGCCTTTGGCAGGTGCGGCCTTTGTGTCCTTAATCCCAGCCTTGTTCTTCTCCGCGATGCGGTTCCTGTTCTCCCTCAATCGTTCGCGATCGATCAAGTTCTTCATGGATTGGTGAAGAAAACTATAAGACTTTTCATGGGATTTCTCATGAGCACGGTCAAACATCTCAATGTCATATTTCAGCAACTGACTTGGTCGGATCTGCCTCAACAAGATGTCCCTTAACACAGCATCATCGGGGGTGACAGCCATGCCAGCTAGGGTAGCATCCCATTTGTTGATGAATCTTCCGAGATCCTGGACAGTATCGCCTACTTTGACAACACCCAAAAGATCTTCTACTCTGTAAAGGCTACCTGCTTCTTCTGATGTCTTGAAGTAGTCCTCAAACATGAGCAGAACATACCTTCCCCTGACCTGGATGCCTTTTCGGGATTGCTGCTCCTTGAAATTCAAGATCCTAGTTGCGAGGTCCCCTCCGGCTGAGCGCGTGAGCGCTGCTGATAACTTTGTATCCAGCGTGAGGAACTTTCCAGGATCTTGGAGTTTCTTCTCCAACTGCTCTCTGGTGCACTCTTGATCGTACACTTCATTGAGCCAGAGCCACGCCTCATCCGGGCGATCTGAACAGCTTTTCACTTCATCCCTGACATGATTCTTCCAAGTCCTATACGACTCCGGAGCGGGCATGTTGTTCAGCTTGATGAGTTCGGCCTCCTTAGTTTTTGGCTTATCCTTTTCTTCCCTTTGGGTTAAGGCTTTCACCAATTCAATAAGATCTGAGGGACCCATCACTTGCTGTTGCTTGGTTACGCTCTTAGGGGAGTCATTTGGAGGAGTTTTGATAGCTTCAGTGGGAGTGAAAAACCCTGACTGCGTTGGCAATTGGGGCTGGTCGTTGCCGACAGCCGGCTTTTGCTTGGGACTGCCACCTTTGAGCAGCTCATCCAACTTGGCCTTTGCTTCTTGTGCCAACACTGCAGGCGTCTTCAACTCATGAATCGGCTCGTCACTGCCTTTGGCAGCCTGTGCATCGGATGCTTTGGGAGTGGCAATATTGAAGTGGGGCACGCTAGTGCTAGCGGCCGGCTCGGCATTCAGGGCGGATGCTCTCGGAACGGAGGCATGCTGCGCTTTGGCAACATGCTTTAACTGCTCCTGAAGGTCATCGATTTGGTCCTGAAGGCTAAGGTTCTGAGCCGCTGCTTCATTGATCTTGTCGGCCATCTCCTTCTTGTAGTTCTCGAACTCGGTCCTCAAACTGATGAACCTGGCCTGATCAATTGCAGCCTGATCTTCATATTGCTTCTTTGTGGCAGCTATGGCATTCTTTGCATGTTCAACTGTCTGTGCATAAGAAGCTTCGAATTCACTAGTGATACGTTGCCTTTCCTCTGCAATTTTCTGATCATGCTTTGTGTTTGCCTCTGCCTTTACATCCTCTATTCTTTTGTCATTCGATGCCTGAGCCTGATTTAACCTGACCTCCATCTCATTGCCTCGTTTCCTCTCCTCGTTGACGGCACTAATGGCCTTACCTTCAATCTCCTGCAGCCTTTGCTCATACTCCTGCTCCTGCATTACGAGTCTACTTGACCATTCGTTTCGAATTGAGTCAACTACTCCATGCATTATCTGAAGGTGCCTCTGTTCAGCTTCCCTCATGACTTGCAGGGTATTCCCACTAGTTATCTGGGACAGGTTGTTTTGTATGAAGGTAAAGTACGCGACAACGGGTTGGAACATTGTTTCGTCATCCATCGGCTCGGGGTTGCCCCCGGCCACATTGGGCACAGCGACAGCCGATGGACCTGACCCTGGAACGGCGAGAGGATGGTCAATTGGGGTCCCCATAGCAAAGTAGTGAGACTACGGCTGATAACCTGTATTTTACCAGGTCAACCGAGTATGGGGTGAAATGCAACACTATCCGCTAAGCAGCTGATACTTTTGAACCAACGCTACAGAGTAGATCGATGATATATACACTACATGGTTTTACTGCAGGAGTTTTTACATGATTCGATTTTTTTTGGTTGAAAAAACCCTTCCGAAATGGGTGTCATTTTGAGCCATCTCCACGTTGTAAACGTGACCTGTTCCGTGCCATGACCCATGGACCCATATGGACCCATGGGGCCCGGCCTGGGGAGCAGCGCTCGGAAGCTCTGCACCTTGGGATAATGGTAGAACCAACGGTCATATATTGATACTATGGTAGTCCCCAAATATCGTCATACTAATCTCTGGGATTTTGGGGGATACTAATCTATTCAATGATGTTGGTAATTCAATCCATTCTCCCATGTGTTTCGCTTTTTGGCTTGAAACACAATGATAAACTACTGGAATTTGGGGCTCCTAAATCTTGAAACAACCCCATGCGGGTCAGAATATGTCTTTGTTGACAGATAGAAATAAGGAAACCAACTGGGTCGGAAGAAAACCAAGGAAATGGACAAAACAGGCGCCCGTTTCCAACTATTTCCAACCTACAAATATGGGGATGCTAAGTTCTAAGAGACAATCCGTGATGCTGATTCATCCGTGATGAGGAGATTTTGGTCGACAGGGATGTGAATGTGTGCAGTACTCACAGATATGTACCGAAATGGTTTAAGGAAACCAAGGGTTGGGGTGGCGCACTTTCAAAATAGAGCCTCCTTCGATTAAATGGAGGATCAACGGTGCAAAATTGGGGTGCCTTTGGGGTTCCAAGAAAGTAAATCAATACATCGTCTAAAATGCCGATATAGAAATACGTCTGGATACATTAAAGTTAATCACTAAGCTCAAAAAAAATTGGCCATTTTGGAACCGTTCCCCCAATGCGAGCCACCATCTTTTTTGTGACGTCGCGGGGCTCGGGGCTCGGAGTCATGCCCCGTTTGCTGGTGTGTATCATTCCATTCTCTTGCCTTGGGCTTCAGTCACTGCGTAATCATTCGCCAAATACCCTCTAGTAAACTAACAACATAACTATGGAAAATCACCGTTTTGAATGGGTAAATCCACTATTTCAATGGCCCTTTTCAATCGCTTTTTGTATGTTTACCAGAGGGTAGTGATCGCCTCCCAGCTGCTGGGTGCCAAACCACTTGCATCGGTAGGACCTGGCCACGGTGCGGCAAGATGTCTGGCTGAATTTATAGGAACTCCAACTACCCTCTGGTAATTTAACATAACTATGGAAAATCACCATTTATAGTGAATTTTCCCATTAAAAATTGTGATTTTTCAATAGCTATGTTAAATTACCAGAGGGTAAGATGTGTTCAAAAACAACTATCAAAATAGTGACGAATTACCTTTCTCTCTTGGGGGTGAAACCTACATGATGGTACAACTTAAATTACACAACCTTCAACCATTTGAAGGATTTTTGTTTCCCCTTACTAGCCATGCTCATAGCCAAAATTCAGAGATTCACAGGAAATCACCACAATTGATGGAAAAATCCATGGTTTCCCATAGCTTTTCCCTTGAATAATCCCAAAGATAAATCAATGTGGGACTATTCCATTGCCAGCTTGGACCACATCCCAATCCGAACCTCGCCACACATGAGCCAAGCGCACATGTGATCCAACTTCGACACTGCCTCGGTGATTGACTCCCCAACATGTGAGTGACAAAAAAGTGCATCCTCAAACCAGTTAGTTTTGATTTCACTCCAAACGTTTACCCTCTGGTAAACTATAACTAACATAACTATGGAAAATCACCATTTTTTATTGGCAAATCAACTATAAATGGCCATTTTCAATAGCTATGTTAGTTTACCAGAGGGTAAAACCACCAATCAGAGAAAGGATTCGGCAGCTTATCCCAGGCAAAATGGCGAAAAAAAAAGACGTTCGAATGTTTGGAAACGCCCATTGACGTGAGAACCAGGCTAAAAAAAACCACTTGCTCAGGGTTGGGGTCGCTTCACCTGACCACTGATGTGGGGATTATATTTAGACTTTCTCTATGCCTGGTTAGCATCATTTGCACAATTAAAATTACAACACCATTTGGATCCATTTGGGGGATGCTTTTGGATGCCCAATTTTCGGACAAATTCGTATCATCGTGTGGGGATATTCCAACGAAATCTCCATGAATTTCTCATTCCACCATTGTGCCCCACTTCACCATGGCACTGCCAAAATCTTGATTAAGTATCCATCATCTTCCAATTCATAGTCAATTAAATCATTAAATCATGAAATCTCCATCATTTCCCACAAAAAAACATCATTTTCCATCCTTTTTCCCCATTCATTTAACCCATCCAATCTTTCGAAGTCACCAGCTAAGCCGAAGCCGGGCCCCGCCTGATGGCAGCTGTCGATGATTGTGGCCTCGAGGCCGAAGCGGTCCATAGCTACTGATGGGCCAGCGAAATCCGTTTTTCACCAGTAGAGGACGATGGTAAACATCCCAATATTGGATGGTTGAAAAGCCAGAAATATTATGAAATATGATATTTCTGGGCTTTCAACCATCCCAAATTGGTGGTTTATAGATGTTTATAGGATTTTGCTGGCCCATCCACAGTATGTTTTAAATAACCATTGGATAAGCACTCAAAATGTGGATGAACACCAACCAAGAATTGAGATTTGACCACAATAATGAGTACATAAGGGCGGCTTTGGTGCTTCAATCACATAGAAGCTCCGGTCCGGGCGAATTTCAAAGAGCTGCATCCGTGATGCATTTTTTTGACCCCTCCCCAAAGAGATGGTGTTTTTTTCTGGATCTTGATTGGGAAGCTTTCTGTCTATGGAGTGAGTAGGGACCTTTGCGTCTGCACATTTAGTGATTTCTTAGTGTAATTTATTGTTACAACCTTCCTAGATGATGTTCGCGACCGCATAGTTAGTGCAGAATGTGATTGCACTAATTTGCTGTGAAATCTGTACGTATTGTTTGAGTTGTTTCTGAGAAAATCAAGAAAGTGTCCATAGCCATAGCAGAAACACAAATAATCAGACAACTAGATAAAGAGAAGTGGCAATCACATCGCCAACAACAGTGGCGAAATTGAGCAGCAGGGGAACAGAATGTTGGTGACATTTACACATTTTACACCCAGCCTTTTACCTGACATCACCTACCCCTTTTTTGGGTCCCTTGAAAAATCTCGACCTCCCCAGGTCTCCCAAGCACCGTGGGCACCGTGGGCCCACACCAAAAGGGACGGTGTCGTTAGGCTGCGACTGATCCGATGCTGTGCCAAGAACTTCACAAAGATCTGCGGATCCAAGGTGGCCTTCGCTTCGCGGCTGGTTGAGCTAAAAATATATCATTCCCAAGGCTGATTTGAACAAGCCGAATCTTGGGATGGTACAGATATTATGTAAGTGTATATATGTATATATGTTTTATATATAAATATATATATATATATTATTTATATATATATTTTATATATATTATTTATATATATATTATTTATAATTATATATATATATATTAAATATACGTAGACATAATTACATACGTCTTAAGCCATCGAGACTATGGAGCTTGGTGTCTTGGCCGGTCCCATTGGTTTCGACCCCAAAACTACTCGGCATCGGGGAGCATCATCATCCTAAAGATGACAACACCAAGAATTTAAAACCCACCAGGAATGGTTGCTCTAGGCAACGGACAATTCACACTTTCAACGGTGACGATTTCGCATTGCAAGTTGTCCGTGGGATCTCTACAACAAATAGTCCGTGGTCAGGCGATATTTCTTCAACACTGGTTATTCCATGTGCCAATCCGCGGGCAAGCTGGGTCAAGGGCTTGACAAGGTGATATGTGTCTCTTGATTTTTGTCACACTGGAACAGTGCCTCGTACTTGGATGATATTGCAAACACTTCTCGATAGACGTTTTTTGGATTCTGGGGCAAATATGTATATATATATATAAATATATCAGGTACAAGTACCAGCACGATTCCTGGAGTAAAATGATGAATCACTGAGCCACATCTAATCGACATTCCAAGAATAGGCCTGAATCAGTTACTTGCAAGCTTGCAGGCGCAAATATCAGGCTTAACACTAAATGCCCAGCTTTTTTGTTTAGACCTATCAAGGGCCTCTTATGTGTCTAACCTCAAACAATCAAAGCTGGCTAGCGCAAATAAAAAATGTAGGATGTTCCGTTGCAAAGTTTGATTTGTGGCATCTACAACACCACTGGCGATCATAAGGGGAATCTCGAGCCATGTGCATTTCTGCTCTATAAAGAAAACTTGTTGATTCAGTTGATTGATTTCTGTTAGCTCAACGGTCATTTCAGCAAGTATTATGTTGCTGAAACCCTCACCTTTGCCATAAATGCAACTTTTTGCTGTTTAAATCATTTAAATCCTCCTCTTTATCCGGACAGCAGATCTTAAATCTTTGTTTGCCCCAAAACCACTCCATTTTGTCAGTTTGTGTCAGTGAAATTTAGGTGAAATCTTACAGGTCAAGTCAGTCACCCAACAGCTTGCCTCGTCTGGCAGGATGAAGGCTGTCTGGCCCAACAAAGGCGACCTGGTGACGAACTGGAGGAACTGTCAGCTTTGACACAAAATATACAGCGGCGAATAGCGAAGAGTTCCTGGGAAATTCCTGGGGAATTCCATGTTAGAAGCTAATGAAGCTACTTCTTTATGAAATATCCCCCAACTGTGAATTATATATATATAGACATCTATAGTACCATGAATCGATGGATCCAATGGGACTCCTGGGTTTCCCCCATGGGTCATGTTTTTCCAGGCTGAGGTGCGTTCTTGGGCCTGAGGAAGCCACGTTTGTCAGTCTGGTCTTGTCTGAAAATAGGCGTCCCATGTACTGGTGACCAAAAAACATCATTTTCCCTATAAAAATATTATAAAATTCTTCCATGTGGCTTTTTACTGCATGTTCAATCAGGCCCAAGTGTCCACTGCAACAATGGAACATGTTCAGCAGCGCCTCATCACTTCCCATACAAACATCACGTTGTAGGCCTGACAGATGTGGCGGTTTCAGCAAACATTCCCACAAAATTACAGGCCTAAGAGCCCTGTCCTCGTAGTGTCAATTCACAACTATTTCACCCTCCGCTGAGAACAGGCTTCCCAGTTTTGGAAATCATCAAGCCACTTACTGTACTCCTTCATCCCATGAACCCTAAGCATCAACCACGGTGCCACGGCCTCTCTGCAATCTTGGCTGTTGTAGGGAAAGGCCAACGCCTTTGGCTTGGATGATCCCCCAGTTCCTTTGTTGGGCTGTCATGGGGCTACACGGTGACTTGGGAAGGCCACGGTGACGGGTAGGGATCCCCATCTGCTGTTGGTAGGGATCACCACGCCTTCGCCCTTGCTCCCACGTGCATGAAGAAATGACCTTGCAATTTTGGCGGAGAAAAAACCTGGGATGCGGAAATGATCCATGTTTCCCGAGAAAATCAGCTAGAAACGGGGGATGTTCTGGAGGCAGGTGTATTTACCAGGGGATATACACATTATATCAAGTGCTAGACTGTAGAACACATAGAAGTCTTGGGATATTGGAGCCTGGAAGCAGTTTCCGTCTCCCTGGTTTCAACGTTGCAGAGGCCCGGGCTGCCAGCAATAGTTTTCGGTCTGCCAGTGGTGCCAGACGTCATCATCAGGATACAGGTGTCCTGTTTCGAAGGTGAAGCTGATACGACCGTGCACTTTTCACCCGCAGCCATTTGCAAAATGTGCGTCTCTGTGTGTGTCTTTCAACTTTGCACCTGGTCCCTTTTTTGGGGTTTGGTGCTTGCCACACCCCAGTTTGGAGATTTTCAGTTTTAAAGCTGTGGATTATATGAGTATGGCTCCAAAATTGAGCCTTGCAAGACCTCAGATGTTTCTCATTTCTGCTGTAAACCATCCGGTTCTTAGGTACCCTTCATAACTTAACCCATACCCATGGCCCATGGGTCCCCTTGCCCGAATCTTAGAGGCCCTGCAAAAAAAAGGCTATGCCCATGTAATCCAACATAATCTGACCCATTCTTCGGGCATTGTCCTTCAACCAAAAAAAATGCGCACATTGGAGTCCTCAACGGCAGGGCGAGAAAGCCTTGAAGTCACACTATTCTGGCCTCACAGGCACAGCCGCTTGAAATGCCAGCGAGCACACCATAAGAATTGGTAGGCAAACCCGTGTTTTTTGTTTAACTTTTATCTATGTGCTTGTGTGTGTGTGTCTGTGCGTGTGGGGACTTTGAGCGTCTAGGTTGATATCATCCACAAACATGAAGTTTTTGGCCTGCAACCAATGAACATGAGATGTTTATATATATATATATATGTATGTGTATATATATATATATGTATATGTATATATATATATATATACATAGTGAAAAAAATATGTATATATATATATATACATATATATATATACATATACTGTATATATATATATATATACATATACTGTATATATATATATATATACATATACTGTATATATATATACATATACTGTATATATATATGTGTGTGTGTGTCACATTACATATATATATATATATGTAATATGTAAACATGCAATAAATAAAAATGAGTATATCATATATTTACATACACTACATGCTATTCTCATTAAGTGGTAACTTCGGGGTGGGGGAAGAAACTGGGTTCCCCTGGCTCACACGCTGCACCCAATCACTCGTCATCTCCAAGGTCCTCGCACTGCTTTTCAAAGCAGCCACTGGCTGGATTGTTTTGGAGAGGCGTGCCATCTAGAAAGATAGTTATCAAGTTCCATCATTATACCATTTATAGATGATTATCCATTTATGAGATTTTATGATTTGAGCATCTAAAATGGCTGGTCTCCACCAGAAGTGGTGGTCTAAGCATCTTAAACAGGTCGTTGTTTATCATCTGAAATTGGTGATTTAAGCATCTCAAATGGGTTATTTCACTATCGAACATTGGTGGTCGAACCCTCTGAACTGAGTGGCTTGACCGCATGGTTTCGCCATCAAAATTTGTTTAGGAAACCAGTGACATTGCTAATCCTAGATACACCCTTGGAAACAAAAATAGAAGTAAGAGCTTTTTCTTCGCTCTTCCTGTGAAATGTTCTCATGTGTAGCAAAAATATATGCCGTATCTCATTAAAACCTACAATCAAGGTCTGACCAAAAACGGCTGGAAGAATCATCAGGATGCTCAACCATTCAGATATTCCACCATTGGAGCGGTGTTCAAAGCCCTGTTTCGTCGTTTTTATACTGGTTGATTGGTTGCTTGAATGGGATTCCCCTAATGGATGCTGATAACCCCCAATATTTTGGTTGGTATAATCCCCCAGTATCATCGACCACCAGAAATTAGCAGCCACTGGGGGTTGTAGGAACCCTGTCCAATTCGTGACTCATTTGGGGATGTTAAAAGCCGGAAAATCCCCAAGACAAGGGTTGGGCAGCCTGGTGATTCCCCATGGAACAAGTTGATCATGCCTGATTTTTTTTGCAACCACAATTTCTGGATATCCCCATGTTTCATGGCTAAGCCTCAACAAAAGGTGAAAATGTCCACTAAAAACCTGATCAACCAGTGTTCATCAACTATGATCGTATCGCGGTCGAAAAAAAACAGCGCAATTCTTTGAGGAAGTTATGTTTAAAATTGAGTTTGATGTTTTCTTGTCTGGGAGCTGGTTTCCTTGATTCTGCAATGGTTTTGAATTCATGTTTCTGGTTGGTGGCAGATTTAGAGTTGATCTATATTAAACAATAATTCAGCTCAAGAATAATATCAATGTTAATGTCATTTAAAGTTGATTTGTTTTAATGATTTAATTTGAATTAATTTGGATTCAATTTGATTTGAATCATTTTAGACCTAATTTGGAATGAGTCTACAGTAGTTGTAATTCAACATTTAGAATCCTTATGCAGTCAATTTAATATTGAATTAAAATGTAATTTGCAATTTGATTTGGAAATAGTTTAGAGTTAAATTGAAATTAGCTGAAAATTAATCCAAAAAGTGCTTTAAACTTGAATCTTATTCAGGAACCAATTCAGAATCATTTGAAACTAGTTATAATGTACTGTACATTAAAATTATTTCAAAGCTAAATTAGAATTCATTTGGTTCAAGTAAGATGTAACTTACATATGATTGAATAATCAATTTAGAAGGACATTTACTTTCAAACATGGATTCAACTTAAAGTCAATTTAAAGTTGATTTAAATGTGGTTTTGTTTCATATATATATATATATTTATGATAATTTCACGATAATCTAGATTGAATCAAGTTAATTGAAACTTACTTTTAAAATTGTAAGTAGGGAGCCAAAAGCCGAATGCCAAACTGATATATATATACATAAATATATATACATAAATATATATATATATTATATTATATTATATTATATATTATATTATATTATATATTATATTATATTATATTATATTGTATTATATTATATATATTATATTATATATTATACATATTATATATTATATATTATATATTATATATTAAATATTATATATTATATATTATATATTATATATTATATATTATATATTATATATTATATATTATATTATATATTATATTATAAATTATATTATATATTATATTATATATTATATATTATATATTATATTATATATATATTCCCAAAATGAAGAAAATGCCCCTTTTTGAAGCTGTCACCATTACATCTCTACTCTTTGCGGCTATGGGTCAAAAACTTCGAACTCCAGCCTTTCACACCAAAATAGCTGGGGATGTTCCTTCCAGACTCGATGCGAAAATGAGCTCGCGGTTTTGACACATCGCCATATGGAGGCATCCTAAAATAGAGCTATCCCAAAAAATATCATCCATTTTTCGATACCCTCTGGTAATTTAACATAGCTATTGAAAATGCCCATTTATAGTGGATTTTCCCATTAAACATGGTGATTTTCCATAGTTATGTTAAATTACCAGAGGCTACCCCAAAAAAAATCATCCATTTTTCGATCGATTTTCCCATGGAAATCAACAATCCATCAACCAGCTTTTCGCGGGCGACTGGCGGCACCTGCAGCCATGGACCTGGGCGAACTTCGGCGCCTGTGCGGGGCTCGCCACGGCTGCCACGGTCTTCGCCTCCTGGACCGTTTGACGCCAGTGGTGGCCGCAGCCATGGGGCGCCCTAGAAAAACCACTTATACCACTTAGTTGACCAACGGACAATTATTGTTAGAAAAACAAATGGTATGTAGAAAACATATGAAAACTATACTGTAGTTCTATCTAGCCCACAAAGCCAACAGTTGACCAAGTGATTTTTGTCAACTTAGCTATCTAGGGGGGCCCCCGCCAAGACAAAGTTCTATGACCGTCCCAAATTTATAGCTAATCCAGCTGACTTGACCATGGCACGACCAGATCGAGCTGCCATCCACAGAAAAACCAGCCATGGGCGTATGGTGAATTAATTATGCCAAGTAGAGATACATAATAATCAACCATAATTTAAAGGGGGTTGTTATTATCATGGATCCAACATCAGGAAAACCCAGTTGGGAAATCATTTTCCGCACTCCTTGGGGCGTCCGTATTAGTTTCAGAAGGGTAAGTATGGTCTATATAGTAGTGCCAAGATTTTGCCAGAGTTTCTTTTTGCAATGTTGGTAAAAGTCATTCCTACATCTCCTTTCTAACTTGGTGATATATCAATGGGAATTTCAGGATCCTAAAATGGAGGTACTGTACCATATAAGGCAATATTTTGGGGGGATATTCCCTTACATAGGCCTTATATAGGCCTTATATATGGTAGGTACCTCCAATTTAGGTTCCTTACATGGCCATTTAATATACTATTTTATCCTTTTTCGGGTATCATCAAACAACGACGCACTCGGTTCACACCAGCGGAGTCAAAGCTGTCCTCGCAGATTTCCTTCACCATACCTTCTGGGAAATGAGCCTGAGCCGCAGCCAAGCCATTCATGCAATAGACCCACAAATGGCTGGTCACAAAACCCATATAGAAACACCCATGGTAAAACCCGCTCCATCGAATTTTTGACCCAATTTCTTTTAACCTCAATGGAACCCCAAAATGATAGGATTTGCGAACGAGGGGCCTCAATGACGATGATGTTTCCTCGCCAAGCAGGCAGCTTCCAGTGTCAGCGCATTTTTCACATGCCATGGAAACTGCAAAGTAGGAAAAGAATCGTTCTTGTTGGTTTATGTTGGTTTATGACTAGGCAATCTGTTGGCTTTGAGCTGGATATCTTGAAACTGGGGCACACCTTGTACGACATGTTACCAAGCCAGCCAAATCCAAGCAGGGCCCAGTTGCCGGGGTAAAATGTGTCCACATACATTCCCTAACGATGAGAGTTCAACCCGCAACGAAAAAAGTACCATGGCCAGCATCCTTCATGACCTGAACATTGTGCCCATGGCCATACCCATTATTGCTGATTTTTGTTTATCCATGCTGCTTTTTGTTTCGACTTCAAGCCACATATTCGTCCTGAAGCGTGCCAAATTCCAAGCATGGCAATGACGTAGTTGCAACTGTGTGGCATCAGAAGGGCCACCACCTTTTTGGCTAGAGCGGTGATCTCTGGTGTTCATTTGGGGGGGGTAATTTCTCAATGTCTACATATAAATATGTATCTATCTATCTATCTGTCTGTCTGTCTATCTATCGATCTATCTATCTATCTAACTGTCTAACTATCTAAGTAATCTAATAAATTTAATCTAATATATAAAACTAATCTAATAAAACTAATCTAGTAAAACTAATCTAACGAAACTAATCTGACGAAACTAATCTAATAAAGCTAATCTAATAAAACTAATCCAATAAAACTAATCTAATCTAGTCTAACCTAATCTTATCTAGTCTAATCTAATCTAGTCTAAGCTGCTCCAATCTAATCTAATCTAATCCAATCAAAAATGAAAATTATATACATATGTATAGAGACACATATAGGTTTATAATACTATTCGATGCTATGTGTCTGCATACATACACGCCATATCTTTCCAGGATGGAACATGACTGGTATATCTGGTATGTGAAATCGGGTGTTTCCTAAGTCATGGGCGTATCCCAATAGCTGGATGGTTTATTTCATAGAAAATCCATCTATAAATGGCTGATTTTTTGGGTACCCCAAAGATTTCGGAAACCTCCATATGGAGATGTGTTAAAGCTGGGTACCCAAAAAGGGATCCGAGCGAGATGATGGGGCAATTCCAAGGCTAAACCTTTCGAAAATGTGTTGTAATATAATTCGCATGATAAGATCATACACTGTAGGACAACAGCAGTTTGATAACAACAATAAATTGAAAATAAGAGGAGAATGATGAGGATGATGAGGATGATGATTATTATTATTGATGATGATGATGATGGTGGCGATGGCGATGGCGATGGCGATAGTTGTGGTGATAATATCAAGAATGTTACAATGATAGTAAGAACACTGACCACCAATCCCACAATGATAATGGTAATGCAATAATCATAATCATGGTCATCATAAAGATTACCAATCCCACCAACAATGATAGTATATATATATACAATATATGGTTGGTGCTATAGCTACCCCTCTGAAAAATATGAGTTCGTCAGTTGGGATGATGACATTCCCAATATATATGGAAAGTCATAAAATTCATGTTCCAAACCGCCAATCAGATATCTACCCTCTGGTTATTTAACATAGCCATGGGAAATGGCCCATAGAAATAGATGGTTTACCGAACTGAATAGCATTGTGGATCTTTCCATGGCAAACTGTTAGTCATAACCAGAGGGTATTTCTAATCCATCTTTGGTCCGTCTTCCCCCTTCTGAGCCTCCCCTGTGCGACCATCCAAATAGCGAGCACTTGCAAGTTCATAGCCTCAGAGGTCACCCGATCAAAGTCATCCCTGGGGCCCCCGATCAGAAGGGCCACGGATCAGAAATTGGTGAAAAATGCCAGCTATATATGGAATATCCCCTGTTATATGTATATATATATATGTATATAGGATTATACGTATGTATGTATATATATATATATGTATATATGTATGTATGTATGTATGTATGTATATATATATATATGTATGTATGTATCTATATATATATATTAAGGATTATATATATATAGGAGTTTTACATGGATTATAAAGTAAGTGGGACACACATCCAAATAGTATCAATAGGGATCAGTAGAGTCCACCATGGATTGCAGACCCAGCGGAAGCCCCGACCATGGAAGATCCACGAAAATGATCAACCACAACGGACATAACTATGGAAAGATCCACCATTTTCAATGGGAAAATCCACTATTTCTATGGCCATTTTCAATAGCTATGTTAAATTACCAGAGGGTAAGACAAATCACACAGGATTTTATGAGCAAAATTTTAGTTGAAAATGTCTTGATGATCCAGAATCCGAGGACTTTCCTCTTTTCCAATGTTTTCCTGTATCAAAGTCAGTCATAAAACTGGCTGTTTATCGCTTCTGGGCTGAGATTTCTTGATCCCATCTTGCGCTATTTTGGTGAGACTTTTACACTTGGTGGCTCGAAAACAAAACAAATATCTGACACCTATTCAATAAATCTCCATGAGAATCCATACTTGTTGGTCTCCACAACGAAATCTCCGATGATTGGTTAGAAACAGTCTGAAGCTAGATGTTCCATGTTTCATTCTGACCTGTTGAATCCCCTCAGAGCCCGTGCCCAACATCTTGGCTCGCTCCGCCATCTGACCAAAAGTTACTCCTCGGCGCCATCAACTGGTCAATATTTGGTTGGTCTGAAAAAAACACAACAGATCATCGTTTTCCGCATGAAATGACTTACCATTGAAGGGGTGATACCCCTTTAAAAAGAGATACACCAGAAAATCCCTGATCAGCAAGTCCTGTAGATAAATACTTCAAAAAACTACTTCACAAATGTCTCATTAGTGACTGGGCTATCCGATCCGACACCAAATTTCAATGGACCGCCAGCAATCCCCCAGCAATCCAAGCCACTTTCATAGGCATCCACCAAGGCCTCTTTGTTTGGTTGTTTCTGGGCCCACTCCTCAACCACCTCAAGAAGATGTTGCTGAGGGTCAAAGGGTCCCAATTCGGAAGTCAAAAACAGAAAACGGGAGTCCAAGCGAGCAAAATTGAGGATTAAGCCGAAAAACAGAGAGTTCACCCAATGGGTAACCACCATGGCCAACACTTCCCATATTCCTAGGCTTGTTGACTTGTCATCTGTCATGGTCCCAGCCTCTGTGATGAGTTTCTCGTAGCAAACACTCGGGATCGTCGCCTAGGGTCGCTCCCTGGCCCCAGATATAAGGGCGGTTAATTCCAGTGGTTAATTGGGTAAATACAGAGGTGAAATGGAAAATGCTCCCCCCTTGCGGCCAGTAGATTACCTACAAAATTGCTTCGAGCAACATGGAGCCAGGCTTCATCGTCCTGATTCAGGGGGGTGATAGTTGAGATGATCACTATGTTCAGGATCCCCCAAAAAAAGAAGGCGCTTCTGGAGTCACAAGTATCGGAACAGAATGCATGCAATCATCAAAAATGGCGAGTGCTAATGAATAATCGGAGGAAAAAAGGCAACAACATGGCAACAACCATAGGGAATTTATCACTGGAAATCTTCATCCGCAATGATATCATTCTTGTCTTCTGTTGGCTGCCAAGTTCACTCCATCGATTCGATGATGTGCCAAAGTTACACACTAAGCCAAGTCAGCAATTCGTTGCTGCCAAGTTGGGTCTCACTTGAACTTGAACTTGATTGAAATGCATTGGAATTCCTAGGGGTTACAGCCGATGCATTCGGTTGGCGCACAGCAACTGAAACATGCCGCGGGCCTTTGGTGGTCACATGAGATTATTTGAGGGACAGCAATCCGACTTCATAGGTGGTGAAAACCACTTAGGAAGTCTCGGATTTCAAGGGAATCCCCAACATAGGAATATTTCATTGATCTTGAATAAAGGCCTATTTTTTCTAAGCTATCTTCTCCTGGAGCTTCAAAGGTCCAGCTTGGAAGATGCTCCAAAGGGGTTCAAGTTGGACAGGACAGGATTTCCATTTTGGGCGGAATTCCGATGATTTTTGACGAAATCATCTTCATTGGCGTCTCCCTGGAACTTATCCCTTGTCAACTTGTGTTTCCACTTAAATCATTTTGTGCATGTGTGTGTGTGTTGTTTTTTGCGCCAATTCTTCTAGGTAAATCACAGGTCTATCCACATTTTACACGACAAATCCCAGTGTTTCTCTAGGACAAATGCATATCGTTGTTGATAAAATTCCCTAATGTGTTGCTTAAATCTCCCACCTTTTTTCTGAAATCCCCGGGGAACCAGGCGTTGCTTGCCAGCAAGGACTGTGGCAGAGATGCCAAGGTCTCCTGTGCCAAAAGGGGATGATGGAACCAAGCGTGAAACTCTACCAGTAGATTGAAATGGTGAATCCATAATACATGTATATATATATACACGTATATAAGTACATGAAATCAATATGCAATATAAATGTATGAAATTATATGAATGAAATGTATCAAGTACAGGAAGTACAGGAAACATATAAAATAGATGAAAACACGTCAAGGGTTCACCACAACCCACAACCAACTAACAAATCTGTACACTGCCAAAACAAGGGCTATGAGGTGAGGCCCTGGTATCTTGGTGGATACCCAAAATACTGGCAAAACGCCTCTCTGCGGCCACACATGAAATACTTCCCCGTGGATTGTAGAGAGTTAAAATATGTGGTTCAATTACTCTCCAGTCAATCAACACACAAAAAATTGCATAGGTCAATACCTATGAGCCAGTTTGGGGGGATGAACATCCGCCAGTGTGAAAACTATGGTTACCAAGGTTTGACCCGTATAACATATGTAACATATGTGTGTAACATAATGTATCTGTGTGCATCTGTATGTATGTATATATGAATGCATGTAAGTATGTAAGTATGTAACTATGTATGTATGTATGTAAGTATGTAAGGATGTAAGTATGTAAGTATGTAAGTATGTAAGTATGTATGTAAGTATGTAAGTATGTAAGTATGTAAGTATGTAAGTATGTAAGTATGTAAGTATGTATGTATGTATGTATGTATGTATGTATGTATGTATGTATGTATGTATGTATGTACGCATGCATGCATGCACGGATTGATGGATGCATGCATGGATGCATGCATACATGCACGCGTGCGTGCGTGCATCAGTGCATGCGTGCATAAGTGCATAAGTGCATAAGTGCATGCGTGCATGCGTGCATGCGTCTAAGGATGTAAGGATGTAAGGATGTAAGTATAGTATATAAGTCTGCAAGTATGCAAGTATGTAAGTATGCAAGTATGCATGTATGTATGTATCTGTATGTATCTGTATGTATCTGTATGTATCTGTATGTATCTGTATGTATCTGTATGTATCTGTATGTATCTGTATGTATCTGTATGTATCTGTATGTATCTGTATGTATCTGTATGTATCTGTATGTATCTGTATGTTTCTGTATGTATCTGTATGTATCTGTATGTATCTGTATGTATCTGTATGTATCTGTATGTATCTGTATGTATCTGTATGTATATGTATGTATCTGTATGTATCTGTATGTATATGTATTGTATATGTATATATAGATGTATGTATCTGCGTATGTATCTGTATGTATCTGTATGTATCTGTATGTATCTGTATGTATCTGTATGTATCTGTATGTATCTGTATGTATCTGTATGTATCTGTATGTATCTGTATGTATGTTTATATGTATGTATTTATGCATGTATACATATATATATATGTATATTAATGTATATATTAATGTATGTATGTATGTATGTATGTATGTATGTAAGCATGCATGGATGGGTGGATGGATGCATCAATGGATGGATGGATGGATGCATATATGCATGTATGCATGTAAGTATGTAAGAATGGATGTATGTATATACGTATGTATATATTAATGTATGTATGTATGTATGTATGTATGTATGTATGTATGTATGTATGTGTGTGTATGTGTGTATGTATGTATGTATGCATGCATGCATGCATGCGTGGATGGATGGATGGATGGATGGATGCGTGTATGCGTGTATTTATGCATGCATGTATGCGTGTATGCATGTATGCATGTATGCATGTAAGTATGTAAGTATGGTAGTATGGTAGTATGGTAGTATGTAAGTGAGAAAGTAAGTATGTATGTGTATGTATGTATGTGTATGTATGTGTATGTATGTGTATGTATGTGTATGTATGTGTACGTATGTGTATGTATGTGTATGTATGTGTATGTATGTGTATGTAAGTGTATGTATGTGTATGTATGTGTATGTATATGTATGTGTATGTATGTGTATGTATGTGTGTGTATGTGTGTGTATGCGTGTGTGTATGTGTATGTATGTGTATGCATGTATGTACGTATGTATCTTTGTATGCATGCATGCATGTATGTGTCTATGTATGTGTGTATTTATGAGTGTATGTATGCGTATATGTATGTGTATATGTATGTGTATGTATGCGTATGTATGTGTATGTAGCTGTATGTAGCTGTATGTATATGTGTATATCTGTATGTATCATGTATCATGTATCATGTGTCTATATGTATCTGTATGTATCTATATGTATCTATATGCATCTATATGTATTTATCTGTATCTATGTGTATCTACGTGTATCTATGTGTATCTTTGGAGTATCTATGAGGATCTATGTGCATCTATGTGGATATTTGTGTATCTATGTCTATCTATGTGTATCTATGTGCATCTATGTGTATCTATGTGTATCTATGTGCATTTATGTGTATGTATATGTCCATGTGTATGTATATGTATATGCATATGTATATGTATATGTATAGGTATATGTATATGTATGTGTATATCCGTCTTCCATTTTCTCAATTTGCTGCTGTTTTCAAATTTAAGATTTTGAATTCTATTTGTCCCTCTTGCCTGTTCTCCATCTTTTTGCTGTGGATTGAATATGTTTGGATTTTCTCGCTTCGGGTTTTGTTATGTTGACCTTTCGACAACGACATGAAAATTGATGGCTTGTGTATGTATATTTATATATAACTACATATACACAATCAATATATATATATATGTGGATAAAAAATGATAGAAATATTGAAATACATACATGTTTGTCTGCGTAAAACACAAGGAATAAAGTTCACCATTTTCGTTGTTTGATGTCGTAGGATCTCCCAATTTTTGGATGACCTTCAGCAAATCCAAGTGTCCTGCAATCAATTCCCAAAAATGGTTTGGTTCAATGTGGGAAACCCAATTTGGGAGGGTTTATACCGCCTATTTTTGGTGATATTGGGGATGGTTGTCTTATTGGGTGGACCACGTGATATATATATATATAGCCATTTTCTTATCAGAAATGGTCTTCTTTGGACCCATGAAGAAATGAGTGTGAGTAATAGTGGTATACTCAGCAAACATGTGGCATACTTGCCAACAATAATCCCGAACAGTATGGCAAATCATCCCCCGATACAACCAAACAATATCTTCTGCCTCCAGCAAACGATCCATATGGGTTTGTCGGAAAATTTTGTATTGATTCCACCTTCAATATTCTGCACGCATTGTCCAAACACCAAGAGAAACCCTTCCATGCTTGCCACGAAATCACATTCTCAAGCGAGGCACCTGCGCTCCTACAAAACTAAACTAGAAATTTATGCAAATAGCCTGCAAATGGGACAACGCACAACAGCAATGGTGACAACAAGCAACAGCAGCAGCAGCAAGAACACCAAGAACAACAAAGCAAAGAAGGACAACAGGGATGACAAGGACAGGAAACACAAGAAACATCACAAGAAAACAAGCCCGTTTTACCCCACAACATGTTTCATAGAAGAAGAGACAGCAAATTCAGTGCAAATCGATCTTCTATTTTCAATATGTGTCTGTTGTGCAAACAATAAGGGAAAAATCAAAAGCAACGAAATAACAAGAAGAACGCTACGACAGACTATACTGGGCATCAAAAAACAGAACAGCTGCAATTACCATCCGTCTCACAAGTTCCAGCTGCAACATGCTACAAACATTATCTGCCAACAATGAGAGATTCAAGCTTGAAAAATCCTGAAATTTGCAACTGGAACATCCCGGCGGGTGGGAAACTGCGTTAGCAGTTGAGTACGTTTTTGAAAAAAGTGGTTCGAGTTGCGGCGCCGTGTGGATCTTTGACATGAATTTTCCCAGGGAAAATTAATCAATTTTGGAGCCATCATATGGTATTTACGGGGAGTCATATGTCACTTTTCACTGTTGCCATAGCCGCCTCAGCCTTGGAAGGGTTTGCTTAGGGCGTGACCCGTGAGACTTTGTAATCCTTGGAATTTCTATGGTGCCATCTCCATTGCCAAATTCGAATTCCTTGAAGCAACTGAGGATTAACAGCCCCATTTTTGTGGCTCCAAGAACTTGAGACGGCACCTTTGGATTTTTTTCCACGCTCCATGGATACAAACTGTGTGCACCAGCAATGTGCTCCATGTTTTTTTCTTGGTACAAAAGATTCCCTCACTATGATTGCAAGCTTCATGACCCAATTTGAATTTTCAGAGGTGCGTTTGGATAAGTCTGCATAAGAATCACTTGAGTGCGCGGCAGGTAACTTGAACGTTGCTCCGCCCCACCCCACCCAAACCCCATATTGAAAAAAATGGAACGGCTACACGCGCGGTTTTTCCACCCGCTAGCGGAAACATGGTGCTTTCAAAATGCTGCAAACACAATGCAAAGTACAGATCTTAGGTTTCCGAACCCATGCGAAACTGCTCCAGAACGTTGCACATCCCTCTTATCATATGTGTTTTTAGCTTAAAGATAATGCAAACATGCAAAGTACAGATTTCCAAGATGCATCAAACCGCTGCAAACGAGAGATTCAAGGTCCAAAATGCTGCCCCAAGAAAGGTGCCAACAGCAAGGCAGGGTGGGTCCTCCAAAGTGGTCTTGACGTAGTTGGCGACCTCTGAAGGACTCGAAAGGACCGGACTGTCTGAAAATGGACTACGAAAGAACCAATTTCAATAGGCAAAATGGCGATTGACCATTGGAATTTTGGTGCCCTAGTTTAAATTTTCAGACGAACCCACATTATAGTAGTATTATTGTTGTGGGTGTAGTAGTCACTAGCTACCTGCAGGGTTATACTAACTGGTTTCATAACAATTGAATCCACGAACTTTCGCCGGAAATAAAGCAACAGCTTTGCGAACAGCACATTTGTTGAACCGGCCTCAAATATTGATGTATTTCCATGTACGCGTTGCAACACGTGCATGTATGTGTTATGTGCATCTATGAATACATATATATATACACATACATGATATATACATATGTATATACATATATATATATACACATACATATATATATACATACATATACATGCATCTCTATGTTATATAAATATGCATTAATATGATATTTGTTTTTTTAATACTTGTAACACGCGACGCTACTGCATCATCTGCAACGGGTTCCTACTGTCTCCGGCACAGGTCTTCAAGACCCCCCAAATCAAGCTCATCTCCTTCATAATGACTAGTGTATATATATATGTACGAGCACATATGTGTATTTTATATATATATATACATATGTGTGTGTGCATAGATGTACGGAGGTACCCTGTATAAAATTGTATAAATATATTGAAGAATCCAATATGGTAAAGTACGTTAAAACTCTCTTGTGGATGTTAGAAGTCCAATGTCTTGCCGCCAGTGGAACTGATCTAGTTGGTGCCCATTGTTGACTTCCACCATCGGGATTCTCATCGGGTGCCTCATGCACTTGCTCCAGCAAGTAGAAATGACCACCTCTGAAAACCTCGGCCGGTGAAAAAATGGGGAGATCACTTCAGTTGATAGTTGCAACCCTTCCTATAATTTCACCTCTAGATGCTCTTAGAAGGTCATCACTCCAGCTTTCATTGGACATGAGCGACGTTGTGCGATGCTAATAGTTCCATGGCTAAATACTCTCGCTGAAACTCCCCCCTGCCGGATGTGTCAAATGATGGTTGCCTAGTGCACCGGTATCTCAGCACAAGGTGACATTAAAGATGGAAAGTCATAAGCTGTTGACAAGCTTTTCTAAAGTCCCGGCACGAACCACCTATTTACACGTTGTTTTTCCCCAGATGAAAAATTATGCGTCTGTAGTCCATGTATGCATCTTTATATATACACATAGGTTCATAGCAAACAAATAGAAAAGTAAAACCTTGCAAAAATAGCAATGATCGTTTACTTTTATTTACCCTCTGTCTTTTTGAGGGCTAGAAAAAAATATGACGTGTTGTCATTTTTGTGCCTTGGTTTCTTCCATCAATCTGACAAGAGGGCGCGCCTTGGGTGGGGGCATCTTGTGGCTTGTCTCCGCTTGCCAGGTCAACAAGTGTCCGCTGGGCACCTTGGAAAATTCTCAGTTGAGAGGGTACCCTCTGGTAATTTAACGTAGCTATGGAAAATCACCATTTTCAATGGGAAAATCCACTATAAATCACCATTTTCAATAGCTCTGTTAAATTACCAGAGGGTAAATTCTTGACCTGTTTTGGGCTCAGGATTGGCTTGGGTGTTTGGGCTATACTGCTTATACCGACACCCAATCTGGTTAGTGGTTCACGAGCACGGCACCTTTAAGGACTTGAGGCAAAAATGGCCCTGGTGAAGGCACATGATGACACGGCCACCCTTGGTCAGAATCGTTTCACCGCATTTGGGAATCTCGTAATTCTGTGTTTATACATATATATATATATACACACATAGACATATGCATATGCATGTACATATGCATGTAAGTATATATATACACATACATTTGCATGTATATCACAACATAACATGACATAACATAACATAACATAACACAACACAACATAACATGACAATACTATATTATATTTTGCTATACTATATAGACTATACAATACAATACAATACAATACAATACAATACAATTTTATACAAGACAATACAATACATATGTATATATATATAGGTCGTGGCTTAAACCATTATACTCTGCCCTTTACCCCAATACTTCACATCCCCAGAACGGACGGAAAAAAATGCCGGGATGTTCACTTACTTTCTTGGGTTAGTTTGTGCCAAAAGAAGGGCATGCCATTTTCATCCCATGGCCCATGGCCAAGGTGAAGCGACCTGGGATCTACAGAATGATTTCATGCCTGGGCACGGCCGCATCCTCATCCCCTCCCAATGCTGTGATGGGAAGCATCAAAGGACGTCGTTCCGATGCCTTTTCTCTCCGGGCGTTCGGGGAGACAAGGAAAAATTGCGAAGTGTATTTGAAAGATCCATGAAGAATTGGGGGGAATAAAACCAATCACAGGAGTTTCAATAAGGATGTATGTACATATCTATATATGTATATGTATAGATTGATCATGGGATAAAGAACCGACAATATGATACGTCGGTTGGTCCAAACATGGGATATACCCCGAAAAAATACAATCCGAACATGAAGAAACAAATTCTAAGTGAAATTGGGGCACAAACAAAATTTGGACCGGTAATACATCTATGTATATGTGTATATATAAATAAATGGTATGTATGTATGGATAAGCTGTTACATTTATATCTGATTGACTCTATATCTATGTGTATATATATATATGAGAGATGTGTGTGTGTATTTGTGCATGCATTATATGTCTGATTGTAGATGTCATCATACAACACCTTTTTGTTTATTGTGTGTATGTGTGTTTTGATTTATGGATACGTTGGTACATTAGCATATATGAATATATACATATATGTAATCGTATATGTTTAGGAAACTAAGTTGAATGTCAACTTTCACAAATAAGGTGGTGGGTTGTATTTAAGGTCTGTCCCCGGAAATAATGTTCATGCAGTATGCAAAATGCATCAAATCAAATGTGCAAGGATCCTTGGCTGAAAAATGGTTCCGCAACTAATTTCGAGACACGGCCCCGATTTCGTGTTATTTTTTCATTTTTTAACACGGATTTGTTCAATGTAATTTTGTTGTTTTTTTTTTTGCAGGCAGAAACGCCGCCCGCTGCTCAAAAAAAAATGTTCTATGAATCTTTAAAGAAGGCCCGCCGCAGGCACACTTTTGAGTGTTTGGATCGTCGCCAAAAGGAATTGATTCCATCAATCTGAAAGCAATTTAAGAACAAAAGATACCATTTATTTATGTTTTTTGTTATAGTTTTATAATTTATTTCTATGTATTTTGTTTTTTTGATTTACTCATTGATTTTAATGTTTTTGTTTAATTGTTTTTGATATTTTATTACAGTATATTTTTGCTCTTATGTTTATCTTTATTTTTTATTATTATTATTTTTATTTTGTTCTATGTTTTTTGTTTTTTATTTTTGTTCCTTATTTTCGCGAAATTCCCTAAATTCAAGGGCTGGCCTTGAATCTAAGGAATTTCGATATTTTTCCACGTTTATTTTTTTTAACAATGAAACTCAATGTTTGTTCAATTCTATTTTTCGGAAAAAATACTATGAATTTAATTTTTCAAATACTAATCGTGGAAAAAAAAAACGAAATTTCTTAAATTCAAGGCCAGCCCTTGAATTTCAGGAATTTCCGCGGAAATAAAGGCAAAACAAGAAAATAAAAAATTAGATTAATTAAATATATATATAAATATAAAAGTAATAAGAGTAAATAAATAATAACAAATTATAATAATTATAATAACAAATCGAAAAAATAAAGTAAAAATAGAAGGATATACGTTTATATAAAGAATCATTGTTTTTCGATTTTTTTTGAAAAAAGGTAAAATATAAAAATGAAAAATGAAAACATTGAAGCACATGAACAAATGAAGTATCCTTAAAAATCAAATGCATATTCGTACTGTCTAGTTTTTAGATTGTTTTCAAATTGGTGGAAGCAATGTTCTTTGAGCGACCATCCAACTGCTCAAAAGTGGCGCCTGCGGCGGGCCTTTTTAAAGATTCATAGAAAAGATTTTTCGTTGGCAAGCGGCAAGGTTTCTGTCTGCAAAAGAAGATAAAAATAAATTTAAACACCATACATGTAAAAACGAAAGACCAAGAAAAAAAAACATGAACATGGTTAAACAAAATTTTCAAACAAAAGGGAACAGACTTGAAGAATCAAAGAATGTATATAGATTATTTCTATTATCATGCCCAACACCAACAGCTGCTGCTGTGGAGCAAGTCCAGTGAGCTGTTGTAAGATGTTGTAAATATTTGTTTTGGGTGATTTCTTTAGGTGCCTGCATTCGTTTTTTGTATGGTTCCTGTTACTTTCTGTGCATACTTTATTTTGACCTACGTGAACATCTACTAGTTTGTCACTCAAATTCTTCACCAAATGAGTCATGTGGATGGCTGCAATTACGTGATTCAATACAATTTGCTCAAAACCCTGTCCAACTGGACTTCAATCCGAAACAATTGGTTTGCAAATATCCTAAACCTTATTTCCGTGTAATTCCTATATGACAAAATGTGTATATATATATATAGTTTAGCAGAGTGACGGAAAACTCAAGTGTAATTCCATCTTCAACTCGTTTCAAATCTGCTACAATACTGCGAAAAAATGAGCCCGCACCGAAGGTGCCAAGGCGTGACAGTTTAGCAGCGAGTGATAGTGATACGAATGGACCGATCTGTCAGTCTGGTACAACTTCTTCTGGGGGGGAATCATTTTCGACAGAGCAGACCGCCAAGAAGTGTACGGGACTGTGGAAATTTGAACGTTTTGCAGATCAGCCCAACATCGTCCAAATGCACCGTTTCGACCCCACATGTCCGCAACACCGGCTGCACTTAGGGTCAACTTTGACCAACAAGGCACTTGGCTCCTACTTCGACCCACTTGGCTCCAACATGCTGGAACTTGGACCCAGTTGGGAGCAACTTCGCTCCGAGTTGAAGTTCACATGGCTTCAAAATGGATAACATGTCCGGCTCAATGCGAAATCCTCAAACCATCTGTTTCACTGGTGTTTCCCATTGTTTTTTGCTATTGATGACGCTTCGTTTGATGCAATGTTCCCCATGTTATGTCTCCGTTGGGCCCAACTTGGTGTGAAGCTGTCGCGAAAGGCCTTGGGCCCAACTTCAACCTAACATGACAAATTGGCGCCGACTTGGGCTCTAGTTGGGTCCAAGATAACACAACCTGCGCCCAAGTTGAGCCCAACCCGGGTCAATTTTGCGGACTCAATGCGACACACTGAAAACTTACATGTTTACCGCTATTTCTAACGTTTTTTGGTTTTGGGGAGGGGTTCCTGCAAGGCCATGTTGCCCACATTGGGCCTGTCTTGGGCCCAACTTCGACGTCACCCCCACACAAGACCAAGTTGCGCATGCTAAGCCGAACTTGCGTCCAAACGTGCCCAAGTTGCGCCATATTGTACCCCTCAAGCTGGGTCCAAGCTGGAGCCAACTGGACCGAGTTCGGCGCAAGTTACGCTCAAGTTGGGCCCAAGTAGGCTCCTGTTCGGACCAGCTTAAGTAGGCTCCTGTTCGGACCAGCTTAAGGCCAAGGACGGCCAAGTTTGACCCCAGTCGCCTTGTAGTTGGGCCAAGTAGGCCCGCTTCTTTCCTCTCTGTCCTATTCCCTGGGTGCGGGCGGTTCTCGTCGCGAAGCGACTCGAATTATCCAAAGGTGAAGGAAATGGATAGAGCAACACCCAAGACAATAGAAAACTAGAATCGTAGTAAACTGGTGGTAGATCACTGTTCTATCTTCTTGGGGGGTTCACTATGATGAACCAAAAACAGGAGGCATTCAACGCATTTCACCTGCTTGTTCAAATTTGTTCAGGGGGGTGGGGATAGGACCCATTGAAACACATGTACTTACGCAATTACATAAAGTAAGATTTGACATGATTAGAACATGCAATTTAAATTTCATCCGCAAAGATGTGAGGTAACAAGCAAAAAATGGAAGTGACCAACAGAAATAGAGATGCCAACAACAAACACTAGATGGCAATGGGCTTCACTAGCATGCTGGCATTGAAAATGCAATGGGCCCTTACTGTATCCCGGTATCATCACCATCGCCAAACCGTCACCATCATCATCATCATCATCATTATTCTTTTGTTTCCTCCTCAGTTTCATTCATGTTGCAAATTTCAACACTATTTTTGCTGCTGAACTCACAAATTCTGTGCTTCGTTTCGAGGCGAATATCAAAATCATTGTTCCAAGCATATTCCATGGCTCCAATTTGCTCCAATGAAATATCCTTCGTTTCCTCAGGGCCGATGTTTTCAGTTTCCAGAACACCCCAGGACACCCCACCGGTACGTAGCTCTCGTAGATCTCAAAGTCGCTCCGCAGCGCCGGCAGCAAGGCCCTGGGTCGCTGGGCTTTGGGGTGTGTGGAGATGTTGGATGGTTTCCTGTTTATCTTATGGTTGCTATCTTGTGGTTGTTTTCTTATGGAATTATGATTGTTAGTGCTTCGAAAAGTTCTTTTTTGGTACTTCTTGTTGATCTTCCTTTCGTATGGATCGTTGGTCATTGGTCGAGGCTTTTGGTTGCTGCGTGCTTTATTTTTGTATGATATATACATATACATATACATATACATGTACAGATACAGACACATATACATGTACATATACATAGACAAAGACAGATACATATACATATACATATACATATACATATACGTATACGTATACATATACATAAACATATACATATGTATGTATGTATGTCTGTCTGTATGTAATGTAATGTAATGTAATGTAATGAAATGTAATGTAATGTAAATGTAACGTATGGTATTGTATTGTATTGTATTTGTATTGTATTGTATTGTAGTGTATTGTATTGTATTGTAATGTATTGTATTGTATTGTATTGTATCTATGTATCTATGCATCTATGTATCTATGTATCTATGTAGCAATATGTATATATATATATGTATGCATGCATGTATGTATGTATGTGTGTGTCTGTATGTATGTATGTATGTATGTACGTACGTACGTACGTACGTACGTATGTATGTATGTATGTATGTATGTGTGTGTATGTATGTATAGATATATATATATGTACATATATGTATATCTACGCATATATCTATAATCTATAATATGGTTATGTAACCTGTTATAAGTTATAATGTAATATGTCTATACATATATATATATATGCAAAAAAATACATCCACCCTAAATTTGAACAGGACATTGGGCAACACATTGGAGCCACCTCAAAAGCTCGGAGTTCAAATCCTTCGGCAGCACGCCGAAGGTCTTTGTCACCTGGCGCTGGAAGATCACCATGGCTGGAGAAATCATCGGAAATTCATGGGAAAAGATTGGAAAACATCGGAAAATCACATATGAATTGAGGTGTTTATGGGAAAATCATGGGGAAATATGGGAAAAAACACTAGAAATTGATGTTTCTAGCTAGGAAATCATAGGGAACTCGCAAAATATTGAGAAAAAAAGCTGTTACATGGCGGTTTCTGGGAAAGTCGTCGAAGTGAGGGAGGTTCCAGCAAGCCATGGTTCTTCTCATTCATATATGGGTATGGGTCAATACCTATTAATACCATTTTTAGTGGGATGAACATCCATTTACCAGCTATTTTGATGTTCACCAGGGGTACAAGGTTTTGACACACTGCCATATGGCAAACATACTAAATCATGTCTGGAGACTGCGAAAGGTTCATGGTATACGTGTATTCGTTGGTTGATTCATGGTGAAGTTTACCCTGAAAAAAACATGGTTGTGAAAGCAACCAATGTGGGGATTGTCATTGAAACCGGAAATGATGGATCATAGGTCATCAAGGGGAAGATACTAACTAGGGAAACTAGGAAGCGATAATAATATGCTAATCGGTTTACTTGTTAATTGCCGTTGGGTCATGGCAATTGCCGTTGGGTCATTGCCGTTGATTTCACCAACCAACATCAATTTGGATCAAACCATAAGAACTGGAAGATGACATTTGGAAGATGACACTGGAAAATTCGGTGGTTAGGATTGATGGTAGCCGATGGGTGCGCCTTTGGACGCAACGTTCTATTGCCCACTTCCCTCGACCCAGTACCTCAATCAATTTTTCATCCGAGAGCTTGTGTAGACTCCTGAAAGGCAGCACGTGGTGTCCGGGGTTCCTGGTGAGGTCGTGAGGTCGCTATGATTTGTACATTGGCGGACCGTGACCTGGCGAAGAGTTACAACTTCGCCAGCTCAAGGTCAAGCGACTGGTAACCAGTAACCAATAGTAAGTATAGTAATTAATGTCATATTGAGCCGTTTACAATATTGTTGGTAACTCGTGATGTTCCTCGACTTGTCTTCCACTTCTTGCCACCCGATTCACCACGCGGATAAACACAAACCATTTCGGCTCAAATTGGGTTCCCAGTTCTATGCATCCTGAAACTCATACGGGCCCAACACATGGGTTAGAAGATCTCAAGGTCTCTTGTCCAGGTCCGAAACTGGTGGGTGGTTGAGCCAACTAAGCCACCAAACAGGATTGAAATCCCAACTTTTGTACTGTTTCAATCTCGGTTTGCTATCGGGACACCAATGCCTGCAAATGTGATGCGACCAGCCAAGTTCTGTGGTTTCGACATATACACATGTGTATGCGTGTATATAAAGCAGGAGAATCAGAACAGACCACTTCAAAGGAACCCACAGAAGTACCAGGTGAGCTTGGACGAGGCCGGCAAGCAGACAGCTACTGCACAAAGTCAACAGCCGGAGCAGGACCCACCACAGTGACCCTGAGGTGGTGGATCCACCCCAAAGGAAGCCCAATAGGAAGAACGAAACAGCCAAGGAGGGACAAGCCAACCCCCGCAGCTTCGACCGCAAGCCCTGCACAAGGACACCAAGGACGGACGAGGCCTCGAGCATGAAGTTCTTGAGCAGCATGTGGACTCTCTCAACAACTTGTGGTGATATAATATTATAATAGATATATCCATATTGTAGATACATGAACGAATATGACATGACATGGGATGAGATGACACTTTATTCGATTGCATTACAGCACATCACACTGCATGACATATGTATGTACATATACATACACCTGTGTATATCTCTAAAGATACAACTACCTTCCTATCTTTTTCTGAATACTTTCCCCATCCCAAAATTGGCAGTAAAAAGAAGCGAAGTTTGAAACTACAAGGCAGCTCCAATGGTGAAACACCATGGTTCCTAAGGCCCCAACCCCCAATGCTCAATCTGCCGTTCCAAGCTCATCGATGCCTGGGCTGAGACCATATGAAATACTACTATTTTTGACGTAATTGATTCCTGGAGGAAAAATAGTTGTATTGCAAACAAGAATAAACAATGTATATATGGGGATATATATATGTATACAGTATACACATATTTTTACACGCCATGAATTACCCATATTATACATAGCTGCAGAGCCTAGCGTTCGCCCAAGATGACATAATATCTCATTTTTCGGGGTTTTAACACGTGTTTCATCCGCAGTTCAAACGGCCTTGCAGGGATGGACGGTACACTAGGTGCGGCCCCTCGCCACGCATACGACACGCAATTTGCTTCATGGCTCGTTTCGCAATAATTTGTGGCAACAACCCTTCGCAGACTTCCTGAGGGTCCGTGAAAAAGAAGAGCCGTTTCGTGCGAGAAGACACATGCTCCGGGCAAACGTCCGGTTCTCTGCGCACACACATGTACGCACATGGATGTCCATCACTGTTCGAAAACACTACCAGGATTGTAATCGTTTGGAAGACCATGCACATCGAACTTTCAGCAAATTTCAAAACTTCTCACCCTTCGCTGCCGCCGCGACCACCACCACCACCACTACGACAAGTACTAGCACCAGCACCAGCACCAACATCATCATCATCATCATCGTCATCATCATCGCTATCTCTCCGCTGTCATCATTCTTGTTGTCGACATCATCGGCAAACAACAATATAAGATAGTTTGATCGTAAGATCCTCAATGCTGCTGTCTCACAATGTCAATCAAAACATAGTACCCGGTACCCTGAATCTACCCCAAAATTTGAAGACTTCCCCTGTTCACAGGCACAAATTCGCGCAGACTGCAGCTTCAAGTTTGGAGACCATAGGATGGATGCTGCTACCTATGGAATTCCATGTGGATGAACATCCACCCACCAGTGGCATTTTCCTGGCCCAGGTTGAGGGCTCACTTTGGCAGGTCCGGTTTCTCACCTTTCAACCAGCTGTCAAATAAAGTTTCCTGATAGCTATCATCCCCTACTTCATGGGAGATCAAAAGGCTCGCCTAAACTATCCTAACCTCCCTTTTTTGTTGACAAACAATCCATCCGGTTGGTTAGATGTCCTCGAAGCTATTCAAGAAATTGAATTCTTGTTTGGGATTTTTTGGGTAACTACCTTTTGTTTGTTGGTTGAATCCCTGCGTTTGCTTTGAAAAATTATCCAGTAATCACGGTGATTTGACCACCCATCTTGCTTGGCGACATCTTTTGGTGGTTGCTTAAGTTCCAATCTCGGCTGGTCAATCTCTTCCCTGGGTGTGTCCAAATAACCGACCCTTTTTCATAAACCATCAAGTTTGGGAGCTTTCAATTTTCAGGTACCAAACCCACATCGGGGCATTTCTGCCAAAAAGACACCCCATTACAAAAAGACACTGGGTGTCCCTGGCAGGGCCCCCATGGCCACTTGCAAAAATGTGCACCGGTCGAGGCCTCAGAAGTTTTCAAATCTGATGGGAAAAAAAATCAATGGTCGGGGTTGCACCGTTTAAATGCCCACTTTGTAGAGTTCTTGATTTATGAACATCACCATCAAAAATGGGGGATGTGTGAAGAATGTGGATTTGTACATTAAGCAGCTGCATTTTACAGTAAAGCAGATTTGGGAATTCAAAATTGGACTTTGACCATGAAAACTGTATATAGATACGATTGGGAAAACCGTGGATTTGAGAGTCAAGAATCTATGATTTAGGCATCAAAACTTGGAGACTTCACGCACCCAACATGCAAGTGTAGCCCTGGAGAGAACAGTATTTCGCAAATAGACAGAGGGACTTGACCAACAAGGGCATCTATTTTTTCAATTGCATGTCTGCGTTTCGTAAAGTTCTGCCGAGTATATTTTTGTGACCCCAATGTGTTGAAAGCTTTCGATCTCCATGAGGTGAAAGATCACCCAAGGCCCAGGCCGGCCAGGGCTCATGTCTGCATCTAATTTCCTGCCAGGGTTTTCGATGTTTCCCTCGTCAGACATCCTCAAGCCCAACGCTCCAAAAGCTTTCCACCCGTACTTGACTCCAAAGCCATGTCAGCATGAGGTATCCTAAGAACTCATCCCCTTCTCGATGATCCATGATGCTTGATCAACATCAAGAAGGTAATCAATGTGATGAACACAGAGGAAAAAACTACGTGCATTTCAGCTGCCATTGTATACAACTTTGGACCATCTCCTTTCTTGCGAAATCGCATGTAAAGATCTAGAAGTTCACCCACTTTGGAATAACGAAAAGATCATGCAGAAAGATATGGATAGATGCAGATAGATACATATATATATATATATACGTATATATCAGAGATACAAATATCATGTCAGCAGACAATAGATCAAATCAGGCACAAGTCAATAGCAATTTATCCAGATATATTGATATATTCAGATTCCAGATATGATATGCGAGTGCTATGTATAAGCATCAAACGGAGCTAATATCATATGGGACTGAAAATTGGGTATCCCAAATCCGATGGTTTCTTCTCTCCCCAACTCCATGAAAAATCCCGGTTTTTCTTACCATCCCGCAGTTCGGTATATCATACATCATCCAATTTCATCCAATAAATCAGATATACCCATGAACTGGGGGATATAGTATGATAATAGTTGGTTACAAAATTCCCTTATGATTTCCCGTCCACGTCCCACACGTCCCAACCTCGCAGTCTCATAGGCCACCAGCGCCCCCAAGGAGTGACCAAAAAAGGCATAGGGGACCCCATCCACCAAGCCTGAGACCTCACAACTGGTCCAGTCGATGTTCCCATTCTCCCACTCAAAACCATCAATTTATGAGTTAAGTTGGATATAAATAAACCGGGAAAGGCTTTGGGAGAAGTTTGAATGCACGATTCTCATCAAAAAAGCTATGAACCGCAATTGAATTGACCACACGAGACTTGGGGAAAATATGGGAAATTCAAAGAATCTGATTTGTGGTCGAGCCACCCCAGCCAAGTGAAATCATCCTGTTGAAACAGCCTCGTGTTTTGTTGCTCAAATCCCCATCTGCCCAGTTAAATCTGAATGGCGATAGCTCTTCTGCCCTCTTAGGAGGGTCTTAAACAATGGATCATCAATACAATAGCCAGGCAGTAAAACACCTGTAATAACCAATCCAATAGATAAAAATATGGGATGGTTTCTGCTTAATTTCCAGATATTTCCATTTCCAACCACCCCCTGTCTCCCGGACTTCAAGAGCTTCGCAGATCTTCTCTACCAAGGTGTCCATGTCCTGATTGGACCAACATAAAAATGCTCATTGTGAAAGGACGCCTAATCGGAACCATACCCACCAAGTGGGCTTTAAACGACTTACACCATGGTTGCGACTCTGAGAAAAAAGCTGTTGTAATCAACTAGGACAATTATATACAATTATCCATTTTGTCGGGCGAGTAGTTTGGAACCATACCCATAACCATGCCTCAGTTGGGTCTGCAATTGGATCGTGTCCACGCTGGGAATTCCCCGAAAGAACTGCTATGACCAGATGTACAGGAAGGTGGTGAATGGGGAGATCTAACAGTGATTCTATTTCGCAGGAATGGGTATTGGATGGTATTGGTAGATTAGCAAACCGTAAAGTATTGAACAGAGCTGTATTATCTATAGAGAACGACATGTAATTACTGCTACTTTGTTGTCGCTAAGGGAGAATGGGCATTTTCAGCATCAAGAACCATCCCATTTTGCGGAACTCAATGACTGACCCAAACGGACTAGCTATAGCATGGTTTCAAACCTCATTTCGGTGCGTCAAGATGCGCAGAATCCCACCAGATCTCGGAGTGACAATGTTGGTAAAACACCAAAACCCCTTGTTTTCGAGAAAAGGATGTCTTGTTTTTCTTTTCCAAATTCTTCCCCCTTTGGAAAAATGACGGACCTTCCTATCACACCGTCCCCCAAGTTCAGTCGCACCGTGAGACTGGAGCTGCCCACGCGACGCTCCCGACCTGGAGCGAGATACCATAGCTCCAGCCGTCGGCCATTTTTGAGATACCAACGGGCCATTCGGTCACTTTCGAGTCGCAAACCATGGGATTTTTCTCGGGTGCCATTGGCCGTAGCTAAGTGTCAACAGCGGCAATTTTGTGAGCAGGTAGTGGTCAATGGATCAAGGGTAGCATCATCTGTATTAGCAAAAAAACACTCACAACGGGAAATTGGCTACAACTACTGCTGCAGACCCAACCATAAGTTCAAAAAAACACGTTTACTTGAATTATATACGTGTCTCCTAGTACAATACTAACAATTTTTTCGATTTAACAGGGTTGCTGAAGTATATTTGGACGGAATTGAGACAGCAGCAAAAGCGCAGATAGAGCAACAAGTTTGGGATTTCTCTGAGTCATTTCAGATTCAGATGCCACTGCAACTCCCGGGTATTGACACCGACACCCACTTTTTGCGGGTTGGCCAGAAAGTGGCCATCCAAATAACAGATTGAAATAGATTGAAATAGATGCATGATGTAGCTACAAATAGCTACGATTCTTTTGGGGGACAGGGTTTCTGAATGTAGCTACGATACATCCTCACCTTTTGGGGTGGACCCTGCCATGTACATAATCCACTTACCAACCCCTTTGGAACAATTGAGGAAATTGGGTGGAAATGCAACTGGGACTAGAACCTCAATTGGACTATCAGGTTGTAGCCCAGTTGCCACGAATCGCCACCCAAAATCTAACCTATGGATCCTGGATGCGGATGGTCACTGGGTTCTTAGCCCCACCTGGAGCAGAGATCATCACGAGCTCCACTTGGGCATCCTCGCCACGAAAGATTCGTAGGGCCGGGCCGATTTTGCCGAAACCGACGGATTTTGCCGTGTTGAAATTCGAATTTTGACCAGACACATGATGAGGTTGTCAAACAGGTGATGGAATGCGTCCCGAAGTCCAATTGCTTTTTTTCCAGACCAGTCGCCCCAAGCTCCGTAGACCCCAGAAACCTGTCCTCGAAGAATTGAGGCCAAGTTGAAAAGGCTGAAGGACCGCCACCACTGTGGGGAAAGCACACCAGCCGAACCTAGGACCATGGGCCAAAGCTAACAGTTGTAAATTGAGGTAAATGGTTCCTATGACCCGATTTCACTCAGTTCATTGGTCTTTGCGACCCCTTTGACCTGGTTTCATAGACATCTACATCTACTTCTACATAGACAGAGATAGATATAGAAAAAAATACATATACATATTCATAAACACACATAAACACAAACATAAACATACACATATACAAAAACACATATACAAAAACACATAAACATGCACATGTACATATACATTCATATACATGAATAATTGGTAAAGTGTGCAAAACGCATATAATGTGTATGCATGTATATATATATATATTATATTTGTCTGTATGTGTATATATATATATATACGATAAAATGTGATATAGTAATATATGTTCATATATATTACTATGCATGTAATATCAAAAACATAAAATCCTGCAACTGGCTGGGCCCATCTACCAGCGGTGGACATCAAGGCCCCAAGTGGATGGTCTCTTAAGCTCCGCACCCGCGCATTTGTCACACTCTTTGCGACCACCAGAAAATCACTGGCCTGAGATAGAATCCTGGGATCACCATATCCATTCATTCCATTCACCTTGATTTGAAAGGGTCAATTGCTCTGAAAGTCAGACGACTGAAATGGAACGAAGCGTTGATGTTGTGAAGAGGTGCCCTTGGACTTATTGTTAATGGTACGTGTAGTTGTACATGTGTATACAAATATGTGTAAATACATATGTGTATGTATTGTGTACATACATATCTGTATCATGTATGATTTGATGATTTGCTCGAATATACATGTATTATATATATAATATACAGTACCGCTTTATCAAATCGTAAACATACCTCCAGACTAGGATCAATCATTGTGAGTTGTGGCCATGCACCATAGACCAACCTCCCCGCGCCTCAATATGAACCATGGAGCCAGTTGCTTTGCGAACCCTGGGCAATCCAGCACGATTCAGTTTCTTAACTGGTGACCAAGACATGTCCATGGCTGTGTGTCAAATTTCCTTGGGCCCTGGGACCCCACATCATTTGGTCATCTTCAAGATGAAATTATGTGTTTTTTTGTTTTAAAGAAAACATGACCATAGATGACCCATACCCATCTGAAAAGACTTCTCGGATGCGAATTACTCTTTATGGAACAAATGACATCATGGAGCAACATCACAAACATTTTCATGGGGGGTACCACGGGAACCACAAGTGACTGGTCATGAAATTTCAATGAGGAAAGACTCTACGAATCCCATCTGTACTGTGATAATGCAGTTCACTGGATAAGGCGAAACCATGCCTCATGATCACGATGGAATATAAATAAACACAAAATGCGTGGAACACACTTGCAAAACATTAATATTTCAACAAATGTTTGGTGTGGGCAATCAAGCCCTTGTTTCACTTTCGAAGAAATGCATTTGAGTCATTTGAGGCATGATTTTGTCACCCATTGCTAACTCTTGATGTTTATTTCATTCACGAGTGTTTGGCTTGGGATGGACTGGCGGTGTCAGCGTTTTTTGGATGGTTTGTCTGTTTTTTACCACAATTTAATGATTCTATAATCATAATATTTGACCGACCGAAAATGAGAATTCAAATGACAAAACATTGAATTTACCAGAATTTACTTAACAAAAAATAAATATACAAAAATGAGACTTAACCCAACCAAAAACGGGGATATCGCCATCAACAAATTGGATCGAGTTATCGGAACCGAATTGGTGTGGCACAACACCCTGCCCCTAATAAAATGATGTCCATGAACTGGAAGCATCAAACGGGGTTGGATTCCAACACGTTGAAAGATCCCGATTTTCATAATCCTTCTGTGATGTTTATGATAAGTTTTCGCAAGTTGGATTGCCGGAGGATATATCCCCAAATTCATTCATAAAATCACCATTTGTTGTTGACAAATCCTTGTGAAACCATGTTTTCGGACCCATTAAATGACTGGTTGCCGGTCGGGAATGGCACCTGCAAGAACGCAAACGGCACGGCTGGCACGAGCCCAAGCAGCTCAGTCAGTCTTAACCCGAAACAGCGAAATGGGCGAACTGGTGGTGAGTTGCTCGAAACAAACATCAACAAAGGATAAAGGGAAAAAAAATGCGAACCCAAATCCTGCACATGACCAATAAATTTTGTTTTTTAGGAATTCATCGATTTCACCGGTTTGTGGTTTACACACACAAGTTTGAACCAACTGTTATGATTTGACTTTTTTTTTGGGCGATTTGTTTGTCACATTTTGGCATATAAACATAGACGTTAAGGTTTTTTGTGTTTTTCTGGGCATTCCGTGTCCGCATTGCTCATTTCCAGTAGGTTCCTCGCGTTTCACCGTTTGCCTCCATTATCCATGTGCCAAAAAATAACCAGTTACATCCTGGATATTTTCAAGATTTGTAAGGTGTTGTTTTAATGCCCGGGAGTGCCTGACCGTAAGGTTTTTCTAAACAAATGAGCTGAGATCATACATTTTCATACATTTTCACATCCCACCTTTTCATATTTTACATACTCACATCTTACATTTTCACATTTTATATCTGCAAGTTTTACATTTTCACATCTCACATGTGCATAGTTTACATTTTCACATCTTACATTTTCACATCCTGTGTTTGCAGATCTTACATTTCCAGATCTCACATCTGCATATTTTACACATTCATACCTTACATTTTCACATGTTATGTTTGCAGATCTTACATCTTCACATCTTACATTTTCAGATTTTACATTTTCAGATTTTACATTTTTTGTTTTTTCCTCCATCTAAAAACGTCTGCAAACATACACTTCTCGATTTGTGTTTTGCACTGCATGTTGACATCCCTGCAACAACATAATATACGTTTTCGACAGCTGGAATGCATGCGGGGAAAATCACCTGCACCCCGCCTTCGCATCATCATTTTGATGAATGCAACAACTATCAAAAGAAAAGTCTGCCAAAAGTTCCTGGCGAGATTTGCCGCTTACGTTCCATATTGGAATGCCTGCTATTTTTCTTGAAAGTTTTCCACCAGTAGCGTTTTGAAACACTCTAATTTCGTCCCAGGTAGATGTCCTTTGGTTACTGAGATCCAAGTTGCCCTCAAGTTTCCCAGGACATGGCTCCTTCAGACCTCTGTTCGCTGTAAAGGAACCCTTCAATCGACAACTTTTTGAAGGTGCCAAAGAACGGCCGAAACTCAAACCGTTCAAGCTGATGTTTTGAACCGCAGGGCCTAACGAGTGAAAAGTGAAAGGTTTCCGCATGTCACGCGATGTGGTCTGCAGAAACTGATGTTACACTTCTCGTTTTGCGCGTTTCATCCAAGGTTTCATGGACGTGAGAGCACTGCAAAAGTATTGGGACTGCTGCTTTAGAGTAGGCTGAGCTACAGATCGGGTTCTAATGCAAATTTCTGTGTTCCATCGCATGAAAACACTAGACATTATAGGGAGTAGTCTGGATTCCCCTTTCTCAACTTTCATGCCATGCCATGGCTCGCAAGTCATTTTCCATGATTCTCAATTTCACTGCAACCTGTGGAATGAGTAACTCATATCTCGGCGCCAAACTCTCTAGGCGAAAGCAAATCTCTTGAATCACGTTGTCACGTGAGCTGTTGGCCTCATGTAAGTTCCCAGCATGGGCGCTGTCCAACACGAACATCACAATTCCTTGAAGGTCAGCTGCATTTCCGATGTGTCCACGCTGGAGCGCAAGATTGATTTCGTTGCGCAAGGATCGAACCAATGTCTCGTATGGTCCGTCCTCATCAGCTCCAATTGCTGGGCCATTGGCTTCAGCATCTTCTTCTGATTCGGCGTCCTCTGCAGTTTCGTCTGTATCTTGTCCAGCTGCAACACCTTGATTCTGAGTCTCACCACTTGCATGAACCTCTGCTGGCCCATGGTCCTCGAGGCAAGTAAGTTCCCTCATTCTTGGGCATACATTGTAATTATAGCACCACAACCCCTGAGACTTGAGGTCCTATACTGGCAACTGCTACTTGACTCAAGGTTTGATCTTGCTGGTCCTGGAAAAGTCTAGTTTCCAGTCGCAGCATGGTGGCATCCAGGCTAGGTGGATACTTCCCCTTTCCCTGTCCTTTGGCTCTTTTGTGTCGTTTGTTTCCAACCTGCAAATTGCCTCCCCTTTTCTCGATGGCCCGCTGAAGTTCAGAGGGTTTGATCAAAACCAGTGGCGGTCTCTGCTGATTGGCCAGCCATTTGAGTTCCCTCCAAGCATTGCTTGCCTGCAAAGCGGCGCTGACATGCGCTTCACCCAGCTGTTGGATCACATCTTTGGCACGTGCTACTGACTCCCCTGCCTCAACACCATGCTCACCAAGCAATGCAGCGAGTTGGTCCACCACGGTAAGTCCAAGGGCAGCCAACTGAGGACGGAGACACATATCAGGCAGGCCAGATGCAAACTCTTGCCTCAGCTGCTTGGCCATGCTTTCCAGCTCAACAAGTGACGACGGAAAATTTTCACCCCAGAGCAAGTGCTTGGCAAACGACAAAACTAGAGCACCACAGTGACCAGACAAAACAAAGGAGACTAGCTTGTTACACCATTGTCCTTCCACCCCTCGCAAACTACCAAGAGTTGTAGCCAAGCTTTCAAACACCTCTACGTGGGCTGGAACCACACCGCAAGTGAAAAGCCTTACTACCGCAGAATCCATGCGCCACACAAGGAGATACCAGTGACGATCCACCATGATGGCTGTGAGAACAGTTGCAACAGGGCCAAGATTGGCACACAACTTCGCCCATGTTTGATCATCTGGGGACAAGGCCAACCCTGTGAGGAGTAATGGATCCCAGACCAGGACATGTTGATCATGATCGGTGTGTTGTGCAATTCCTTGGAGACCAACCAGTAGCTCATCATCATCCCCTAGACAGGGCCTTGCAAGCTCAAAATGGTTTCACGCTCGATCTTGGTCATCTGAGACGCCCTCTTTGTCACCAGTTGGTCCATGGAAGTGACCGCATAGACATTCCAATCCCTACCCGGCTGCTCATGACACTCCGCCAAGACATCGCTAGCAGACAGACAACAGGGCACTGTGAGACTGTCACTCAACGGCAACTCAAAACCATGAGGGGCAACACCAATCTCAACTCCATCAACCAGTGGCAGGCTTAAGTCCAATGCCTGTGCATTCTGCCAAAGCATCAACTCGGCTGCTGTCCCGGTCAGGATCTGTTTTGCTTCCAAGAGCCCTGTGGTTCCATCAGGGCAAACGACGGACACTGGGTCAGACTTGTCGGACAACCAATAGCCAGCCTCAAGTTCTGACCAACATCAATGCCTGGGATTCCACCACCTAGCAAAGCCCACATCTCTTGCGGGTGCAAGTAACGACAGTGCTGCATGACCCGCTGCATGTGTACCTGCGAAGGAGGGCGGGCCCACCCCCTTCGTCGAAGGGGGGCTTGAAGGCGGGGCTTCAGGGGGGCGTAAGGGGGGGCTTAAGGGGTCATGAAGGGTGCCCCCCCTTCCCCCCCCTCCCTTCAAGGAAAGGGTGGAAGCCCTTAAGGGGGGGCTAAAGGGGGGGGCTTCAAGGGGGCTTAAGGGGAGCTTGAGGGGGGGCTTAAGGGGGGGCTTAAGGGGGGTTTTTCAAATTCATCATCATCAATCAAAGGGGGGCTTCAAAGGGGGGCGTCCAAGGGGGCTTCAAGGTGGGGGGCTTCACGAGGGCGGCTTCAAGGGGTAGCTTCAAAGGGTAGCTTCAAGGGAGGCTACTACTACTACTGCTGCTACTACTACTACTACTACTACTGCTACTGCTACTGCTACTGCTACTGCTACTGCTACTGCTACTGCTACTGCTACTGCTACTGCTACTGCTACTACTACTACTACTACTACTACAACAAAAACTACAACTACTGACTACAACTAAAACTACAACTACTGACTACGACTACGACTCGACTAGAAGTTGTTGTTGTTGGAATACTAATAATCGTTGCAGTACTAGAGTAGCTCTCCTTAAGCGAAGCCCACCCTCAACCCGCCCCTTAAGCCCTCCTTAAGCCCCCCCTTGAAGCCCCCCCTTTTTTTTTTAAAGCCCCCCCTTAACCCCCCCTTAGCCCCCCCCTTAAGCCCCCCCTTAGCCCCCCCCGCCACCCCTTACGCGCCCCCTTGAAGCCCCCCTTGAAGCTCCCCTTGAAAGCCCCCCTTGACGCCCCCCCTTGAAGACCACCCTTAAGGCCCCCCCTTAAGTAAGCCCCCCCTTTAACCCCCCCTTCAAGCCCCCTTCGTGTGAAGGGTAGTGGGCCCCATATGCCGCGAAGTGTCAAGTGGAATGAGCACTCCAAAGAGACCACGTGAGATGATGCGCTGTTCTGACAATGCCCCTCTACAACCACATGCGCAAGCATAGAGCTGATTACCTGCTGAGTGAAGCAAAGTTGGACAGGCTTCTCAAAGACGCAAGAACAAGTTTTCAATCCCACCGGACGCATATGCATAAAACTTGGAAAGCTCATACAGATTGAGGTTTATCTGAACATGATCTACCTTAGGCCAATGACGGATTCCTGCCATGACATCTACGATTTTTTATTTCCCGGGTATGGCCGATGACGCTCTGAGGCTCGGTCCTGTAATTTGTATAAGCTGTGAACTAAGGAAACGAATTGAACGCAGTGGTTCAAGCTGTACAAATTGTGGCAATGAAAACACGGAAAACAAGACCAAAAACCCAAACAAACCCAGGACGACCCGCAAATCCCCCAGCCAGATTTGCGTTTCGCCACGCAAACAACGGCGAAGCAACAGCAGAACGGGGCCAGAGCCCAAACAAGAACAAACAAACACCAACTGCCACCAGACAGAGAGGGAAAGCTCCCTCTACAGTATGCCATATCTAAAACTTGCACACAAACTCAAAACGAATTAAGAACTTCCAGTAATCGGAGAGGGCTACACTGAAAAATGATGAAAAGGTGAAACAGTCTATACATTCGCAAGTTCATCCTCTCAGAGTCCTCTCAAATGTGCTTCTTCTAGCGCCAAAACTGTAGGTCCCTGATCAGAATGAAGTGAGTCTCACCAACCAACTGCACCGTGTAAAAAGCAACACCAGTCACAAGCAGTTGCCCGATACGTCCGACCGGACGCCCCCCAATGAGGGGGGCACGACCGAAAGGTCAAAACGTGGAAGTGAGTGATCAGGGCTCAGCCAGAAAGCCCAGACCCAAAGAGACGGTGGCTCGCGTACCAGGAAAGATCCGCATGCAAGGGTAGCTAATCCGTGATGTCCGATGTTTGCATTCATCATAAGAGAGGTGGACAGTGGGTGCCACAGACTGTGCTCGAGGTCTGAGAATCCCAGTTCGAAACTACCGCTGCCCCCATACTATGCGTCTCTCTGAAATGTGCTTACCTTTGGCCAGCGTGTGTCGCGATCAATTAACTGGAAGTGCCATCCAGAGGTATGCACATCACGGTCGCAGCGATCAGGGTGTTGTTCGGGCACCTTGTAAGTCTTCGTCGCTAAGATTTTCCTGCAGAGAGCAACGCTGGACAACGTGCAGCTCGCAGCAGGAGCATCATCAGACCATGGCTGGCTACGCTCCCACCCCCCATCCCAACACTCTGAGGCCATTGTATCAAGATTCAGAAGTGCAACGTTTTGGTGTCAATGAAGCTTTGTGGCCTATGGCGGCCGGAAGGGCAACTAGGGAGGCCCTTTTGAGCGAAGCCGGTTTTGAGAAGGGAGCAAGCTGTTTTGTAGATGATTTGGTTTCTTGTTGGGGCAAGCGGGGTGCATAAGATGGTTTCCCAATTTTCTGTCAAATGGTCATGCCAAGCTCTAAGTTGAAGAACCTGTGCAATTTTGGGTGAAGTAGTGCCTGGTGTGGTTTTGGAGATCTTTCATGATTTGTCCAGATTGCTCAGCTCGGAAGTACCCTTTAGGAATATACGGCCCTCGCGGCCGGTTCCGTCGACGAACATTGCGGCGAATTTTTTTTTGAACCGGCGCCCTGTTTCGGCGGGTCGCGGTGTATTGAATTGAGACTTCTCGTCTACCACGTCACGATCGCGGCCCCGTACCCGGGGGAATCGATCCGCGGCTAGCTGTCTATGCACGGTCCTGAGACGGGCATTATACCACTACTCGACGAGATCGGCTGACGAACATCGCGGCGAATGGCTCTGCCTTTTTGATGCACTCAGGAGGCCCAGGCGAACCTCTACGGTTGGTTGATACGGTTGATGTTTCTGGAGCGTGTAAAGATAAATACACTGCACTCACCCATGTCATGTCATGCTCAGTTGGATGTGTAGTATCTATTCTTATCAGTGTGACAGTCGATGCATGTCACAGGTCTGCAGAGACCACTGAGCAAGGATGACACGCCACTGGATGGTGGCTCAAGCAACGCAAGAGGAAAAGGCAACTGTGGTAGCAGTTTTAGAAGTGGGCCGCCGTGTTTTGAGATGGTAGCGGAGCCCAGTGGGACAAGGACCTTTGGTGAGGGCTCCAGGTTTCCAGGTCATGTGGACCTTCATGGCGTTTGTGCTGATGGCAGCTGATGGTGGTGGCAATCGTGGACTTGGGGCGCTTGGCATGGCTGAGTCCTTTGTGAACATGCCTGAGGAACCCAAGGCTGAAGAACACCACGCGAGGAGCTGCGGGAAATTCGACGCCTATATGCTGTACTGTGGGGAGACATCGGCTTGGCCCAGAACATGTGCAAAATTCAACCCCGAATTTGGTCCCACCCAAACAGATGCGCGCCTCCGGTGCGCGAGCTTTGGGTGGCATGTTCTGCCATGCAAGAGTTACCCACACGGCTAAGCATGCACCAAGAACACTGGAGCAAAAAAGCAAGTGTTGGGAGAAAAAAAGCTGTGCTGGAAGTGCTGGGGCAAAAAAGTCTGTGCTGGACACGCAAGTCACACATTGGCACACTGCTTCCAGGAGATGTCAACCTGCATTATTGCAGACAGATGGAGGTTGACGCATAGACAGATGGATCGGCAGCAGATAGACAAACAGGCAAACAGACACACAGACAGGCAGGAATACATGGGAAGGTGCCTTTGACCTCAGCAAGAAAACCTGCTTAATAAAATGGAAAATAATGGTTCTGGGCAACTATCTCTGTTTGGGTGTCTGAGAATCAACCATCCTCCTATGGCCAATTTTCTTTCCCCAAAAGCCGAAACCCATACAACATCCATTGACACCTCTGAGAGCATAACCTGCAAACGGCCCTTCAATGATTGACCAAAATGTTATCTTTTCCAAATGGCACAGCCTGCCGCTTGCAAACTAGAACGGAACACGTCCAAGAACATTGGGCACACTGAACAAAAAACAAATACTGTACAAGAAACAAATTGGGACGCACAGAGAGAAAAAGCATTTGTTAACACTTACGCTCATGCTAGTGCGTCGCAAATCTGCTTCCAAAACATCTGCAGGCAGCA